CAGAAAGGAGGGAGATGGGGGAGGAAAAAAAAAAAAAGCCTGACATGAATCAGAAGAAATAATACCTAGCACCCCCCTCCCCGCTCCCCCAGCCAGCCGAGCCCCCCGCTCCTTCCCCCTCCTTCCCCCGCCGTCTCTCCGCGCACACACGTACACACACGGGCGCGCACACAGCGCTCTGTATTTTCGGAGGAGGAGGAGGAGGAGGTGGTGGTGGCTCTCGGCAGAGGCGGCAGCGGCGGTGCCGGGGAGGGGGGGATCTCTTTTCCCCGTTCGGAGATGATTGTGCTATTCCTCTTTGCCTTGCTCTGCATGGTGGAGGGGGCCCTGTGCCAGCTCCATTACACCGTGCAGGAAGARCAGGAGCATGGCACGTTCGTGGGGAATATCGCCGAGGACCTGGGCTTGGACATTACAAAACTTTCGGCTCGCCGCTTCCAGACGGTGCCCAACTCCCGCAGCCCATACCTGGAGCTCAACCTGGAGACGGGCGTGCTCTACGTGAACGAGAAGATCGACCGGGAGCAGATTTGCAAGCAGAGCCCCTCCTGCCTGCTGCACCTCGAGGTCTTCCTGGAGAACCCCCTGGAGCTGTTCCGCGTGGAGATCGAGGTGCTGGACATCAACGACAACCCGCCCGCCTTCCCGGAGCCCGACCTCACCGTGGAGATCTCGGAGAGCGCCACGCCGGGCACCCGCTTCCCGCTCGAGAGCGCCTTCGACCCCGACGTGGGCACCAACTCGCTGCGCACCTACGAGATCACCCCCAACAGCTACTTCTCCCTCGACGTGCAGACGCAGGGCGACGGCAACCGCTTCGCCGAGCTGGTGCTCGACAAGCCGCTGGACCGCGAGCAGCAGGCGCTGCACCGCTACGTGCTCACGGCCGTGGACGGCGGGCAGCCGCAGCAGCGCACGGGCACGGCGCTGCTCACCGTGCGGGTGCTCGACTCCAACGACAACGTGCCCGCCTTCGAGCAGCCCGTCTACACCGTGTCGCTGCCGGAGAACTCGCCGCCCGGCACGCTCGTGCTGCAGCTCAACGCCACCGACCCGGACGAGGGCCAGAACGGCGAGGTCATCTACTCCTTCAGCAGCCACATCTCGGCRCGCGCCCGCGAGCTCTTCGGCATCGCGCCGCGCACCGGCCGCCTCGAGGTGAGCGGCGAGCTCGACTACGAGGAGAGCAGCGTCTACCAGGTGTACGTGCAAGCCAAGGACCTGGGGCCCAACGCTGTGCCCGCGCACTGCAAGGTGCTCGTGCGCGTGCTGGACGCCAACGACAACGCGCCCGAGATCAGCTTCTCCACGGTGAAGGAGGCGGTGAGCGAGGCGGCGGCGCCGGGCACCGTGGTGGCCCTCTTCAGCGTCTCGGACCGCGACTCGGAGGAGAACGGGCAGGTGCAGTGCGAGCTGCTGCAGGGCGACGCGCCCTTCCGCCTCAAGAGCTCCTTCAAGAACTACTACACCATCGTGACCGAGGGCCCGCTGGACCGCGAGCAGCCCGGCGGCGACGCCTACACGCTCACCGTGGTGGCGCGGGACCGCGGCGAGCCGCCGCTCAGCACCAGCAAGTCCATCCAGGTGCGCGTCAGCGACGTGAACGACAACGCGCCGCGCTTCAGCCAGCCCGTCTACCAGGTCTACGTGAGCGAGAACAACGTGCCCGGCGCCTACATCTACGCCGTGAGCGCCACGGACCGCGACCAGGGCGCCAACGCGCAGCTCGCCTACTCCATCCTCGAGAGCCAGATCCAGGGCATGTCCGTCTTCACCTACGTCTCCATCAACTCCGAGAACGGCTTCCTCTACGCGCTGCGCTCCTTCGACTACGAGCAGCTCAAGGAGTTCAGCTTCCAGGTGGAAGCGCGCGACGCCGGCGAGGAGCCGCAGCCGCTGGCGGGCAACGCCACCGTGCACATCGTCGTCGTGGACCAGAACGACAACGCGCCGGCCATCGTGAGCCCGCTGCCCGGCCGCAACGGCACCCCGGCGCGCGAGGCGCTGCCGCGCGGCGCCGAGCCGGGCTACCTGGTGAGCCGCGTGGCGGCCGTGGACGCCGACGAGGGCGAGAACGCGCGCCTCACCTACAGCATCGCCCGCGGCAACGAGGCGAGCCTCTTCCGCATGGACTGGCGCAGCGGCGAGCTGCGCACCGCGCGCCGCGTGCCCGCCAAGCGCGACCCGCAGCGCCCCTACGAGCTGGTGGTCGAGGTGCGCGACCACGGGCAGCCGCCGCTCTCCTCCACCGCCGCCATCCAGGTGGTGCTGGTGGACGGCGCGGCCGAGCGGCCCGGCGGCGGAGGCGGCCTGGGCGCGGGGGCGGGCGCGGGGGGCGGCGGAGGCGGCGGCGGCGGCGAGCACCGGCCCAGCCGCTCCGGCGGCGACACCTCGCTCGACCTCACGCTCATCCTCATCATCGCCCTGGGCTCCGTGTCCTTCATCTTCCTGCTGGCCATGATCGTGCTGGCCGTGCGCTGCCAGAAGGAGAAGAAGCTCAACATCTACACGTGCCTGGCCAGCGACTGCTGCCTGGGCTGCTGCTGCTGCTGCCCGTGCTGCAGCCGCCAGGCGCGGGCCCGCAAGAAGAAGCTCAGCAAGTCGGACATCATGCTCGTGCAGAGCTCCAACGTGCCCAGCAACCCGGCGCAGGGGCCGGCCGAGGAGGCGGGCACCTTCGGCTCCCACCACCACAACCAGAACTACTGCTACCAGGTCTGCCTCACGCCCGAGTCCGCCAAGACCGACCTCATGTTCCTCAAGCCCTGCAGCCCCTCCCGCAGCACCGACGCCGAGCACAACCCCTGCGGCGCCATCGTCACCGGCTACGCCGACCAGCAGCCCGACATCATCTCCAACGGCAGCATCCTATCCAGCGAGGTGAGCCCCGCACCCCCTGTCCCCCGCCCCGGGCGCGCGCCGCCCGTTGGGGACCGTTAGGCGCCCGTTGGGGACCGTTAGGCGCCCGTTGGGGACCGTTAGGCGGCTCCGCCCCGCCCGCCCCAGCGCCCGCCTGTCACAGCGGCGCCGCCGGCGGCTCCCCCGAGCCGTTTTCTTATCGACCCGTTTGTTTTCAAACGGTTTCTTTGCATGGTTTTTAACCGCCTGCCGGGCAGCACAAGCCCCTTCCCGCCCCCGCGGCGCCGTTGCCCCTTCCAGGTGGCCGCTGGCGTCGGGTGTTGAGGGAACGGCAGCCGCTGSCAGCGACCGAGGGACGTGGAGAAGGGTGGCAGGGGCTGCCGAGGCGAAACCTCYACTCTCTGCGGTGTATTTATTTATTTGTTGCTCCCTGAAATCTTAGCACGTGGAGGAAAGAAAAGAAAAAGTTTTGAGAGGCACTCGTTCCCCACCTCCCTTCCATGAGACCGTGAAAACCTCTGCAGTTGGCAGGCACTGCAGTTTGCAAATTAGAGTTTATTAACCGRCCCTTCTTTACTCTGCCCAAACAAACAGCTCTTTACAACCCAAAGCTGTGTTCCCAGAGGAGAAAAAAAAAAAAAAAAAAAAAAGTTAGGGAAGCATTTCCGTGAAATTACACGCCAAGACTTAGTGTCCTCCTCCTTTACTTCTTTTATCCACTGCGTTATTGAGTGCGCAGAGAATCCCCATCAAAGCATTTGCTGTGTCTTAAATGCTCCCCTGTTAATCAGTCCCTGCTGTGTGAGCTAATACATGCTCTCCATACCTCTCTGCATAGGTACTCATGAGAAAAAAACACATTCTGTCTTTACATTGAGCACCGAAACCTGAGTACTGCTCAGCCTGCTCAGCGTGTTTTGAATGGTATTTTCCAAAGCAGTTTGAGTTTCACACACCAAATTCACAGTCAAAAATCTCACTGTCATGTTGGCCCTTCCATAAACTGTATGCAAAACTCCCTTCTTGAGGGCTAGAGCCATTCTCAGTGTATTTAGGCTGCAATAACTGTCCTGTCTCTCCCATTTTATACAGTGAAATTAAGAACAGATTGAACACCAGATTACGGCAAGTTTTTTTTTCTGAGTCAGTAGTATACAACTCCAGAAATAGTTGTGTTGACTCTTCTGGGTGTTCTTGTGATGTTTGACAGCATGCACCATGAGGGGAGGAAAAAATGTCAGAATATCATTGCAGAGAACTCAGAAGAAATCCCTGATGCTTTCACATATGTGTGAATAAGAGCAGATATTTTATTTGGGTATTTTTCCCTCAAGTCCTTTAAAAAGGCTGTGTAGGCCTGGTTGTAACTGAGCATTCCCATTTATAGTCAATCTGGTGAGCTCTAGTGTATTTTTAGGTGCTGAGTACAAAATAAAAAATTGTACTCCCAAATTTTCTCTTTTTTTGCCTTTTTTCTTTCCTTTTTTTTTAAACAGACGAAGCATCAGCGTGCCGAGCTCAGTTATCTAGTTGATAGACCTCGACGGGTAAACAGGTATGAACTCCTTAGTCTTGTGTTGCTAATGTATGCTCTAGTAAGCGTGAGTGGGATTCAGAAATGTGTTTACTGCAGGCATAAAATAGTAGCCAAGCAAGCAATGGGAAAATGYATGTATATAGACATATTAAATGACATAACTGAGTAAGTTGGAATTAGATTTTTCTGAACCTATTTCAAAGCCATCTAACTAGAGAACAAAATCTCATTTTGTGTTAGCCTAGAACATGCCTTAATATACCTGGGAATCCTTCTGTAGCCATTACCTGATATTGAACTCTGAGTGAGAATTTAGCTATCCAGCCTAAGTAAGTGCTACCGAATTATTCATTACAATTGCGTGAAATCCAGGCCAAGTAATAACGGCTCCTGCCTCCTCCAAATGGGCTGCTAATGTCTGAAAATGCAAGTTTTGTTTACGATGGGCAGYGTGGCTCTGCAGGAGCAGTGCAGCCCGCAGGAGTGGGTGAATGCAGCGCCGGGGTTGGCCATGTGATGGCAGAAGAATGTTTTATGAGTTCCTCTTTCATGTTTATTCTAATGTAAAGATGTTTCTCTGTCTAGTTCTGCATTCCAGGAAGCAGACATAGTAAGCTCTAAGGACAGTGGTCATGGAGACAGTGAGCAAGGAGACAGTGATCATGATGCCACTAATCGAGGTCAATCCTCTGGTAAGTCTGATAAAAGAACAGGAATAGTAGATCTTTAAGTAAAGGGCACTAGAAAGAGCAGTCACGTATAGGAATAGAATACAACAGTGCCATGGAATAACATGAGCATGTGCTATGGAGGGTTGGCTTTGGGTCTGCTTACTGCTGCAGTAGCCTGTACAAGATGATTCTGAACCCTTTTCAAGGGATGAAGAGTGRCAGTTTATTCTTTTTTTCCTGTATGTTTGTTTGCATTTTTTAATGTTATTCTTCATCATTGACTACCAGGAAACTTCCTGCACAGTAAAACAGAGTTCCTGGTACTTTTTGCAGTGTTTTGTTTTGTTTTTTTCCCAGCAGCAGGGTTTCAAAACGTTAGGCAACTTTGTTCAGTAGGGACTTTGGCTGTTGTGGCAGTGTGAAGTGAAGGGGGAGTTCCCAAGGGAGAGAAAGAGCCCAGTGGTTGAATGACAGCCAGACTGTGAGGATTTTTGCTGGGGATCAGTGGAGACACTGTGCATCTTTGAATATGTAATACCTTAGCATTTGTCTGAGGACTGTGTTTTGATTCTAGTTAAGGGACATTATAGTATAAATCATCTCCATGTCAATGAGGGCTAKGTATTCTTAAATGCAATTTCAGCCATAACAAAGGAAAGAAATATTCTAAAAGCTTTATTTTAAAACCATGGTATTTTCATGATTCGAAYTATATAGAAGTGCTCCCTGCTTGAGCAGGGGGATTGGACTAGAAAGATAATCTCTTGTGGTTCCTCCCAGCCTTAACCATTCTGTGATTCTCAGTTCTAGTGTTATTCCTATGTGTGCAGCTTGCTGTTTTTTCCTTCCTGCTGCTAGGTTTCTTTTGAAGAGGACATATGTTTAGAGTTTGTGCCTTACTATTCTTCCTGACCCTCTCAGTGCTTTTTAGCCAGAAAATGCTTTGTGTTTTTTCCTACCACTGTCTGTGAAGGTTTGGCATGTCTTAGTTCAATACAGTGATTTCCTTCCCCTTATTCCCTCTGTGCTCTGTCATGTAGAGGGGTTTGCTGGATTTTACAAAGTGATGCCTGAATTTCTACAGCCCTACATCATTTCTTTTCCTCATCTCATGCTAAAGGATATCAGGGCAAGGGGCTCAATAATGTCACATCAGAGCCATTTCATCGCCTTGCTACATTAACATCCTCTGTTTTCTTGCTACTGTAGCCACTCTCCCCTTAACGATGGGAAACCCAGGCGGAGGGGAAAAGGAGGCCGCTACAGGGCCCCTTTATATTGCTGCAAGTCATTAATATGCAGACCTAATGAGACTTGAGAAGAGCCAAGAGTCTCCGGAGCTCCCTGCTTCTTGCAGGGCTTCATGCTAAGTGAACAGAGTGTCTATTTTGTGTCTGGGAACCTGACAACAAACCAGGTCTTGCCAGAAGTTTACATCTGAACACAGAGCCTCTTTCATTTTTGGCCTATATATGGCGTATGATTTATTGTTGTCTTAAAAAGCCATGTATTTAGGCTCCCCCCGCACACACACCCAATCTTCTGCACTGTTTCTGATGCAGCAATCAATGCTACTGAGTTATAAAAAGCTCCCTCTCCTCCTGCCCTCCCTGCATTACATTTTTTTTTCTTTTACGCATTTTACTGCAGTAGTCATCTCAGTGAGCGTTTCAATCAGTTTAGTCCCTCAGCATAATGAACCATAATAACCAAACAGGAGAGAAAAGAATAAACATCTGCAGAAGGGACTAGATTTGACTGGTGGTAGAAATATAATCATACAGTTGCACATCAACTGAAATCTGTTTTTATTTTAGAAACATCTAGTGCTGTTGTTGTGTTTTTCCTCTTCATTCCTTTTTTTTTTCCATTTTGAAAGTAGTCTGCCTCAGATACCAACATTGGAACTATTCTCAGGCTTGATGTTACTTAGCCATGTAAATTCTTTATTATTTCTACTTCATTAAAATAAGAAAAAATAGTATGAATTTTTAAAATAAGAAAAAATTCTATGAATTCTAAGAATCTGATGTGATTTATGGGCTTCTGTTTCTCAAATGGAAATTACATGCGATTTAATGAAAGCTGACAGTTAGATTTGGTCTACTCATAATTAACAGTTTCAACTGAAACCTCAAGCACCCAGGTCTTCCAATTTAATGTGTTGTTGCAGTGCTTTGAGAATAATTTGCATGAACTTTTTTAAATTATAGTTTCAAATAGATAATTAAATAGGAATCTCTAAAGAAACTACTCTGATTTTTAGGATATGCATAATCCTTTTTTTTTTTTTTTTTCTGGTAATTTTCGAGCTGAAGCCTACTGTCATGTTGCAAACCATGTACCTTTTGACCTCAGTGATGGCGAGAAAGAGATTTTGATATAAAAGCTTAATTCTTGCTAGTGTCCAGGGATTTTTGTTAGTATTTGGCAATGAATTTAACAAAAAGATGAGAATTAATCTTACCTGATCCTGAATGGCTAGAGAAACATCTGAGGGAATGTATTCTTAGTTTTCCAGTCATTCTGGTGTTCTGCAATCAATTCTATCTGAGTTAAAGGAACACACTTTAATAACATAGCTGAATGCTGACTCTTTTTTTTTTTTTTTTTTTTTTTTTCCTTTTTCCCCCCTCTGTTCATGATGTCATCTGACACCATGCAGCAGCATATTTATTTTCAAAAGCACTGTATGTGTTTCCGGAAACATTTAGTAGACAATTCACGTTGTAAAATGAAACGTACCCCTCGCTGTGTTTCATCAGAAGCATGCTCTGCTTACAAAACATCGTTTCACAGTTGTGTGCATGACTTCTCTTGTTGTCACCAGCGAATAGTCCTGTGACATGCAAGCAGCTATTCCGCAGTAGTCCATTGTTAGTCAAGCTGACTGTCAAAGTCATGGTGAATTATTAGTTGGGAAGGAAACACGTGGGATGAAAATCTATTACTGTGTCATAGATTTATTCTGTGCAACCATTTAGGAGGAATTCTCAGCTGAGCTGTTGTAACCACCATAAAATGCATTATTATGTTCTAGGATAAGAATCTGGTTCCCTCTCTTATACAGAATATACTTTCTTAACAGTGATTTAATCGTTTCATGAAAAGCGCTTGAATGTGCTGAACGCTTTTGTGTAAGGAATTTGTATTGCTCCCACTAAGGTAGTACCTGAATTGCTCATAATTACCTACCTACTTACCTACCTCAGTGTTCGTGAACTAGGAGAAGACTGTCATCAGCATTTGGTGGAGAAGGGCAAATAGTGGGATTTCAAAAGTGCTCAGGAGCTTAATTTTCTGGGATTAACTAGGCATTTCATTGACTGGTATAGGAACTTGAACTTTCTGGAAAACACGGACATACAAGAAGTTTTTGGCAAAAAGAGGAAGGCATTTCTCAAACCCCAGGCTGGTGCCTTACTTACTAGCGCTCTTCGCTGAATATTTTGAGGACAAAAGATGTATTTGTTGTAAAACAAATGCAACACTGCTGCCTATCATTAACGCACTACTTCAGTCCTGTTTTGTACGAGTCATTTCTAAGCATGAAGTTAGTTTCCCATGGCTGATTAAATTCTTGGCCTTTCTTCTGAAATTGCCGACTAGGGTGCCAATTAATACTCTGCATGTGTATGTGTTGAAACTGTGTGATGAGACACCTGTCCTTCAAGCTTTGGACTCGTGCCATCAACCTCTTCTGTATGGTTGGTCACTAGTGCCTCTGCTTTCTCTCTTCAAGCGTGCAGAGTTCTTTGCAATATCATCTTTGTTTCACTTCTAACTTGACACGATCATTCAGATACACTTGAGGAATGAGTTTCATACATGTGAAGATAAACAYATGTACTATAGTGCATATACCTTAAACCACACCAACCAATTTTATAACCTACTTGGTGGAGTATGGCTGGTGTGTGTCTGTGAAAGGCTGAGGTCTAAAGGGAGACTTGTTCTCTCCCATGGGCTTCATGGAAGGAGTTGCAGGGTCTGATAAAGAGGCACAGGATGAAATATTCCTTCACACCTTTTGAGTACAGCTGTAGTAAAGTCAGGAGAGTGAGTATGCATTACTGCTGAGCTGGATGAGGGCCACAGTATTTCAGTGCATGTGAGAAGAAAAATCTGAGAAGCTAGAAGAAGAGATTTTAGCACTAAAGGGACAGAGAATGCAAGTGTTCCTTCTGAGCCTATGCAGAGTGAAAGCTACATCCTGTTTTGAGGATTGTTTGGGTAAGAGTCTGTTTTGGATGAARTTAGAGTGAATTTAAAAATGGCTTAGAAAAGTGCTTCAACTGCATGCTTAATCATGTTCACATCTCAGTAGTCCAAAAAGGCTTTTGAAGTGAAGATTTGGAAGAGCTGAATATCAAAGTTGTTTAAGTTTTTATTCAKGTTCTCATGCAGACCAAGTCAGTTTTATCCAAGGCAGCACACCAATTACTTGGTAAAAAGGAGTAAAGTCCATTTTCTYCAGTAGTTAGTGTTCTGCAAAGGAGATTAAAATCATTATTCTCATTTGTAGACAGACAACATGAGTCACAGGGAAATGAATAACTTACTCATAGGTAATCTAGCCAGATGGGTGGGTGATCTGGGAGTGTAACTCTGAACACGAGTCCTGATTCCCTAAGTCACGCTTGTCTCCCATCTAGCCCTTAGAAAGCTGCCACAGGAGAAATGACAAATGCTGCTTAAGCCTAAAGAAAGGCCAAAGTTATGAGGAAAATGGCACACACTGGGGAAAAATCTCAGTAACAATTTGATGGAAATATTTTGTCAACGTTTTACTTGCATTTGYTCTATTTATTATGTTATTTATTTGGTAATACATCTAAACATGTTCACTCATTAGTCTAAAGGCTTGGTGTATGGCTCTCCTCCCATAATTCAGTTAAGAAAGAGTAAATTATATACAAATTATTTTAAACCTAATTTTCTCTTTGATCTGAGTAGTCTTTCAAATCAATTAGAATTCATGCACATAAAAATGCTGATATTCCTCCTTTTGAAATATGAAAAAGAAATTAGGAAAATGCTTTAGAAGTGGAACAGTATGAAGTATCTTCTTCAAACACCTCCATTCAGAAAATTCAGATACAGAACTTAATTTTTAACTCTTTTCCWAGTTTTTGGTTGGAGGGGGCAGGGAAGCGAGGGGTTGTTTTTCTTCAAAATCTGCAAAGTCACGTTGCCCGCTGGCCTTTGTAGTAATAACTCTTGAATGAAGCAGAGTTAGTAGTGAACTGACTGCTAAACTTGTACTTGCCATGGGTTTTTATATGTGTGCTGGGTTGCAGCACTCCACGCGACCTGTTTGTGTCTGAGAAGAACATGTGAAATTCATAATTCAGAGTCACCTTTAAAATCTCAGTTTTTATGCATGCAAGGCCTGATAGGAAAACTAACTGAAAAATAGAAAGCATTTTTCTTTAATGTAGATATGCAATTATGATGGATAGTTTAATTCAGAAAGACTATATGTATAACCAGATTTATGAGGGAGAGGAGATAAAAGTGTTATATGGCTGAACCTTTTTTCTGTTATAAATCAAGAATATGATTCTTGGTGTATGAAGGAGTCCTATGCTTGGATGTCTTGCTTCCTTTACCATGATATATCCTTCCTTCCTTGGAAAATAGAAAATAGCTCTTTTTTCCTTTAAATACTTTTTTTTTTTTTTCAATTAAAACAGAGAATGATATATCCTCACCCACAGTAAAAAGGTGGAGGAGAACAGCCAGCAGCCATCTCAKAGTTAGTGAAAATCTATGCAAGTGCCCATGGATTTCAGAATTAGGGTGCTGATTTGAATTTATTCTTCTGCCAAGATATTAAGGCCAAAGGCTTGATTCTGCACCCATTAAACTCTTAGGGAGTGTTGTGATTGACTCAAGTAGGAGTAAAATCCAGTGCAGCCTCTTTTCTCCTAATSCTGAGCAGGCGTGTACATGCCAGCTCTGTGTTCCAGCAGCGGATATTACACTTAAGGGTTTTTTGTGTGTTTTTTTTATCTTCTTTTAGAAGTTCTCCTATCCTTCAAAGGAGGAAAAAGTTTGTTGTATGAGCTTACATTTTATATCCCCRTTTCATTACTTTGTTTATGCAAAATCCTGATTTGTGGTGTCTACAACATCTCTTTTATAATAAGCTGTTATATAATACTATTCAGTGCATTGCAGTAAACAAGCAGAATTCAGAAGGGAGTTAAAAAATAATATTTGGTTAGAGACATTTTGCAGTTTAGCAGCTGATACGAAACCAAAATAGTGAAACAGAGGATAATTTTCCAGGGGACATAAAAWTCCTTGAAGGAAAAAAAGAGCTTATCTTTGAATAAATATCTTAAATTCTTCTTCCCTACTGACAAAAGAATACAATTTAGAATTTATCTGCGAGTTTTTCCATCTTCTCTCTTTTTTTTTTCTTTCTTTTTTAATCTGGGAATGTTAAATGAATATGGTCATTGAAATGCTTTTAGTGAAATGTTACTGTAATCATTTTCTTATTAAAGATAAGGATGTTGCTTGTTTACATGGAACTTTGCTAGGAAATCTGAAAAGCGAAAGAACCTCTAGGTATTAACTGCCGCTCAAATTTTCTGAATAGCRAAAATGCTTGATTTATACAATTTGGGCAGGATTTTTATTTGGACAGTTTTGGGCATATGACATGCATACGTACACACTGCTTTATAGGCATTGTGCTATATTCATTTCTTTCTTGGAAGCCTGTATGTAAGGCTTTCTTTTCAGCATTTGATCTGCTYTCAGTGATAGATATTCCCACCACGGAATTCTAAACTCTGCTATTTGTATGTCTTGCATGTCGTTCTTCATCTGTTTCCTTCATCATATCTGCTGTTCACGTTTGCATTTTTCAACAGTTCACTGATCAGTAATTTATTTCCACACTTCTGCATGCCTATTATCAATTGCAAGGTTATAATCAAAACTGGACCTAGCATTGTATATTACTTAAAATTAAAAAGTCATTATAAAGTGAGATTAATCTGAGATAAAAAGCCTTTTCTTTTTCTTTTGCTGTTTGCTTAAGTGACTGCTTTCAGTTCCTAAGCACTTCTTGATAACTCAAAGAGATTTCCTGCCTATTGAAAAGACACACTATAGTGTGAGATGGCCCACAAATATTACTAGCATAAATCAAATTACAATTCAGAACAGTGGTAGAATTCTTAATAGTAATCCTCACATTGGAGATCAAGCTAATCAAGTTCTTTACAGAGCAGGCTGCTGAATGAGCTCCATTATTTGAATTATATTATGGATGTTGATTTTTTTGYATTTCTCTTGCAAGTTGTGGCATTTTTTTGTAATTCTAATGCTACGCTTGTGCATGCAATACTTGTAACATTTAGTTCAGTTTTGACATATACCTACTCAAAGACATCCAGTTCTTTTTGTAAGTACAAGAAAATGGTTTCTGTATGCTCTTGAACATCTACTTGAGGATGTTAGTATCTGTTTTACTGTATGCCAAAGATTTTGTACACTGTTTCTCTCAAAACGAGTCTACTCAACAACTCGGTGAAGCACAGTGAGGAAATACTGTGTTGGAACACCGAGCTGCAGCTCGGCAGTGGAAGTCTTGTTTGTCATCGGAAATCTTGACAGCATTAAGGGATTTGTAAGCAAATGGTTTTGTGTTGGTGGGGACAAATATGCACACAAAATATTAACAGTTTTGTCCATAGTATCCACAGCAATTTTACACTGGGCTATAGTTRCCTTTGTAGCAGTAAGTCCTGTAATTCTCTGTAGGATTCTGTCCCGTTACACAAGCGACCTGATGATGGTGAGGATCGCTGCAGCAGCGATGAAAACTATCTCTGAAAGAATGATGAAACTATTAATTTATTAAGTCATCCTGATCACTTAAAGCTGTGCTTCTGCTTTGTAAGACCTGCTTTTAATGTAGGCTCTATTTGTGTACTAATGGACGTACAGGTAGTTCCTTTATAGGAATCACTAATGTTTCATAAGTCAAATGTACATTTCCCTCACCAGGGCATATCATTCCTTTGGTCAGAGATATATTTAAAACACAATCTCTCTGTAATCTTAGACAATTATTTTCCAGTGCTGAACCTCAGCCATGATCTGCAGGTTGAATCAATCTTTATTTGAATGGGTTCTAAACAGTAAGCTCYGCAAGAGATTTTGTGTGATAGAATCAATATCTTTCTTGTGATTTTCTTTTTTTTTCTCTAAATTGACATTCAGGCATTTATATGTGCTTCTTAGATGGTTCACTGAATTATAGAGACTGGACAATCAGGTATTTTATTGARGAAATGAAGATAGTGGAAAAAGTTGTTAGGAGATTTCTCTTGCTACTTGCCTTTTCTTTCGGCACAAYCTTTTGTATCTGTCAGCAGCTGTTGGTGATGCTGAAGCTTATATCTGTAGTTTCTTCTTCTCTCCTGCTTGCAGGCATGGATCTCTTCTCCAATTGCACGGAGGAATGTAAAGCACTGGGCCACTCGGATCGGTGCTGGATGCCTTCCTTTGTTCCATCCGATGGACGCCAAGCTGCAGATTACCGCAGCAATCTGCACGTTCCTGGCATGGACTCTGTTCCAGACACTGAAGTGTTTGAAACGCCAGAAGCCCAGCCTGCGGCGGAAAGGTCCTTCTCCACCTTTGGCAAAGAGAAGGCCCTTCACAACACTCTGGAGAGGAAGGAGTTGGATGGACTGCTGTCTAATACACGAGCGCCTTACAAAGCACCATATTTGAGTAAGTACTATTTAAAAGGCTGTATGGAAGTGATCCCTTTGTGGGAATAGCAGTTAGCTCTTTCTCCTATTCATGGCAGGAACAATGCAGATGCTATTTTAGAAGTGAGGGGAAAATGGCTTCCCTTGGATCGTGGCTCCAGCRAAGAAGGCATCGTGCAGTGCTCTTGTAGAAAGACAAGACCTTGAGTCTTGTCAGTGTGACGTGGTTGTCAGAAAAGCAGTATCTGCTGGGAGCATTGGGTGGGGAAGGTTTTCTGAAGCTGCATTAGTTTCAAAGTTTGTTTGGATAGACAGCGTAAGCATAGCCAGACCAACAATTTTAAGAGTAAAGTTAAGATAAATTTTTCTTTCCACTGTCCTAGAAACTTCTTTAGGTTACTGAGTGGTACACCAGGAAGTACATGTATTGTATTAAAATAACTACTTACATATTTACTATTAAGGATTTGGAAGGAAGAATAAGCTTTCCACTGATGATCTTTCTACTGGCACAGTATTGACTTTTCTCAGGGCTATTCAGTGCCTTCTGTCTGGTTCCAAAATCTTACCTCTTTCTTGAATCACCTTTTGATGGTGGATGGGTGGCAGGAAAGAGTGTGGCTGATCTCAGAAACCTTCATAATTCATTTTAGATTCTGAGACAGATGTAGAATCCTTGAAAATTACTTCAAGCTAATATGTTTTTCTATTTATTAGCCTTCTTTATTTTCTTAGAGACTTTTATCGGGTTGACTTCAAGAGTTTATGGTGCCTGTCTCATCCAAAAAAATTTCAAGGACATTAACGCTGWAATACTGATCCTTTCTAAAGCAACAGTAGTCTCTTAGGACAGAAGATAAGGAAAAGAAATAAATTACTTTCAGTGATATATGCTTTTAATTTCCAAAGCATTTAGTTGTTAAGAAAGGTGGTTTTTCACTTATGTTACAAAAGATCATTTTCAGCACTGACCGCTTTCAGATATCTCTTCTTAACTGGCTCTGTCCAGGAATTGCCGTGTTTCAGAGGGGTGGTCATACCAATCCCTAAAGGATCTAAATTTGATTTACTGAAAGCTTGTAAATTTTCACAGCACTTGTGGAGATGTGGAGCCAAACATAAAGCTTGAATTAAACAACCCTGTTTTTGTGTAGCCTCTCATGTAAATTGTCAGTCAAAAGACGAAGGCAAAGTTTTGATTTACTAGGTCTTAATGGCTGATGGCTCTATTTTTCCTTAACACATTTCCTATTGTTCACCCCAAGAAGTATTTTTTGTTACTAACTCATAATCTAGCAGTGCTAATTTCATCTTCATAACTTCATTTTCAGTTTTCAAGCATTGGTGGTCTAGTTGAAGAGTGCTCTGATGCAGGATGTACATTACAGGGATGATGATCTCTGTCTAGACTGCCATTCTAGTAGTTCTATCTGACAATTTTATTTCAAATAGCAAATAAACATGTATTTGTTTTATTTGTAGTTGAAGGGGTCTTAAATTTTACCCAGATAATTTTTTTATTGAAAGCTCTTTCCACATCACCCATGTTTTGTATCTTCCTGGTCAAAGAGCATAAAACACCTGAGCTTAAAGTATTTTAGAAAAAGTAGTATCAATGAATTGTATTATGTAATCCTCGCTTGAGCATCCAGGTTTAGTTTCACTTTATTTCTTTGGATTCCAAAGCTAAAACTACAATATTTCTTCTATCTTTTTTTTTACTTAATGTTTTCTTTAGTAAAATGTCAGATTATAATTGAGTAGCAAGTAATAGGAACAAGGAAAAGAAAAACGAACACAACACTTTTCAGAACGAGTAAGTAATTCCCTATTAATAAAATGTTCCGTGAACAGAGCAAGAGGAATGGATAAGAAGTGGACTCAGGAATGGACTTTAGCTGAGCAATTGTGTTGAGCAACTGTATTGAAGGTAAATTCAATATTTTAGCAAAAAAAAAAAAAAAAAAAAAAAAACAACAAAAATAGTATGTCAATAGAACAAATGCTTTTATAAGTGATTCAAAAAATATGAAGCTCAACCTTCATATTTAGTGAAAATGTTGCTTAAAAATTGCAGTATATATAAAAACTGCAATATGAAGAAAAGAATGGCAAAGAATATCCCAGGATGCAAAAGCTATTTGAACTTAACAGTTCTTTGTTAAAGGGAGGAAAGATTTTGAAGTACAAGTATCAGAAAAGAGCATAGGATCTAGCAAGTAAACTTCAGTATGGAAATTAGTAGAAATAAGAGGAACTTCTTAGAGCAAGTAACCAAAGGCACAGGAATAATGTATCTTAAAACAATTTTTAAGATATCAGATATAGTAAGCCCAGGAGAGGTCTGGGTCTCATGAGCTGCAATTAGTGAGGCCAAGGGCATTGCACAAAGGCTAAATAATTTCAGTGCATTGGTCTTTACCAAAGAGAGAGATGAGAGAATGGGGGAATGAAAGATTTATAGGAAGCTACTCATCCCAGGTGATCTTTTATAAACATGAGAGACTAAGTGACAGAAGAGGATGTTCTTGAATAACTGGCTGAAACAACTAGCATTAAGCCAAGACACTATGTGCTTCTGTAATATTTTGATTTTGCAGAAAAGGCAGCTACAAAAGAATGTCAGAAGTTGTGTTTATCACTAAAGAGGTGCTTTTATAGACCAGTGGGAGACTTCAGCACAAGGCTTAAAATGATAAAGGCTTTAGGAACAAGCAGATGCTAGGTGGCATCTGTACTGGAAAACTGAGCAGTTCCAACTTCAGTCTATTAGAATTCTGATTGAGTGAGTGAGAATTAATCAATACTGTGTATTTGAACCGTCAAAAAAGCCTTTGAAGCAACTTACGTAAGCAGGTGTTGTCACAGGGTAGAGCTTTACCCTATTCTCAGTGCCCAACAGGACAGAATCATGAGGATAAATGCAGTGTTTTAGCACAAGCAGAGCTCCTTGAGAGTCTGTGCAGGGCAGCAGAGCTTAGAACATTATCCAGAAAAGGAAATGAAAACAAAGGGGTGGCATTTGCAGATGGCACAAAAGTAGTTCTGGCAAGTCTGAGATAGTCTGTGGTAGGTCCACACTGCAGTGAGGTGCTTTGTGCTCCTCAAAACCCGGCCAGCTCCTGACCTCGCTCGCTCTGCAGCTGCAAGCCACAGAGCAGTGTCAACACGGTGACATGGCTGGGAGAACTTCCTAGTGCAAACACTGGGCACCGTTGGGGCAGCTGTGGTGAAGGAGACCAGCAGCTTTATATGGAGCTTTTACTGAGCAGTGTGAATGTCTCTGCTCAAGTTTGTGCCTACTTCGTGAGCCCTGCCCTGTGATCCGGTGGGCTTCCTTAGTGGGGAACTTTGGGAAAGCTAAAATGGCAAGGTAGTGCATATTAGCATGAGAATTTAGAGCAATTCCTGTGTTTATGAGGGAAAAAAGGACAGTGGAATAATTCCCAGAAAAGTGCCCCGCAATGCACCTAGTTTGCAAGTAGCAAATGAAATGTCAGGTAGTAAAAAGGAATGGAATATACTAAAAATACTATTAAAAACTCATTACATAAATGGTATCACTACATTGCTCTAGCCAGACTATTCTTTTTTTAGAAACATATAGTATAACAACAGAAATACTGAAAATACTTCTCTGCAAAGACCCATCAAAAGCTTAGTGCTAATTAATTTAGAGAAACTGTGATAGGGACATGAAGTAAAAAGAAGAGTGAATAAAGGTGAAGCAGGTAGGCTGGGCGTTTGCATTGCCAGTTTGAATAACGAGGGAGATCAGCAAGGCAACAACACAGTTGAAGGGCAACCAGGTTGTGAACTAATAATTTATTATCCATTTGATAAGATGATATGCTTTTGAAAAAATAACACATTAATCTGTCAAATGCCTGGTTATTGGAGGTGATTGAAACCAAGAGCTTAATAATGGAGATTAAGCTCTTTTTATTTGTTTAAAGATCAAGTCATTCTACGGACAAAAACATCTCCATGTGCATTGCAAAGTATGATGATGGAGAAGATGCAAATTCTCGGAATTGAAAAGGTTTATGTCCCATGGTGAAATTTTGGCCTTATATAAACCTTTGGGCCAGTTTCCATATTAATATACATATTCTGGGTATTATTCTGAGGCCAAGCCCAGATCTATTCAAATAAAGTATTTTTATGAATATGTTTTTGAATAGTCTAATGTATATTATAAGTATTTATTATGAATACAAGTTATACAGTTGTCATAGGTCAATAAATCATAGTATTTTTGAAAATTTTCTCATGGGGTGACTCTAGAATTCTTTTAACTTGCATATTCTTCTAGCTGCATGTTTTACACTCATTTTCTTCTTTTTTCATCCATGTGATTTGGATATTGACTTTTTGCAAACAGTTAAGAAATTGATTTTTGTGATGGCTTGAATGTTCAGAAAACATAAAAGGATTCTGAACTTGACTGAGAAGGTAGTTAGAATAACACAGGTGAGAAAGCAGCTTTTGAACAATTCTTATTTTTTAAAAATAGATTCTAGCTGTTTGTCACTCAGTGGGAGGTTGTTTTAGTCACTATTTTCCTAAGTATTTTTTTCCATAGTGATCAAAAACTATAATTCAAGATTCAAATTTCATGGCCCTGCATGCTGCAAGGTGACAGTTTTCACGGTGAATATCTGACCAGTGTGATGCTTGTCAATCCCTAATACCTGGCCCAGGTCCTTGGTGATAACAGTGGGGAAGAGCACCACTAAATCTGTCGTGGGACTGTATCAGTCTACAGCTGATGATAAGATTCATCTTTAAAACTGCTTTCTTTTTTTTTTTCCTATTTTTTTTTTCCTGCAATTGTGGACCATTCTAGGTGTGTATTTCTTCTTCTGATATTTTTGAGCTTTCCTAAAAATTATGCGCTGATATTAGTGTAGAATTACTTTTCTTCCTAGCGAGAGTTAGGATTTGTTTATACACGAAAACAGCCAGACAATGCCATAATAACTTAATTTTCCATGCAGAAATGTTTCTTTTTCTCGAAGAATGACTTTGCAATAGTCTAATCTCCCTTGGAAGCAGGTTAAAACAAACTATATAAAGGCAGTTTTCAGACTCTCAGTATCTGTGCAAGGGGCTAAGGAGGAGTAACAGTTGTGTTCTGCTGCAGCCCCTCGCTAACTCTGCTGCAGCTTCTGCGTGCAGATAGGTGAACCTTTAGCTACATCTTCACTGAGGCAACTCTATCATCATGGTGATTATTGCCAGCACTATCAACGTGTTTTATGTATGAATGAGGATTTTACTCTGTTAGTCATGGTGTAAATAGAGAATAAAGAGACTAGTCCCTTCCTCAAAGAGTAAGCAGTTGTTGAAGTTCAAGCAAGTTCAAGTTGAAAGGAAAAATAATCCTTTTCCTTGGCTGCTTTATGTGGCTTGGATGCTAAGTATCTGCACAACCTTAAACAGATGCACTTGGGTCTGGATTTGGCTTTGCAAAGCCTAGTGACTTGAATGAGCCTTGTCTGTGTCAGAGAATTGAAAACACAGACTCCATCCCCTCTTATGGGAGTTTCTTCACCTGGCTATCCATGGGCTTGTTCCCATGGAGTCGTGATAGGATGAAGGCCACTGTGACCAGGAAGACTGCTCCGTGATCAGAGCACCAAGCCCCCATGGCAGCACTGAAAATACAGGTGCAGCCTGAGGCTCTGGGGCTTCAAAATCTTCGGAACCTGCTCGACTTGATACCCCCAAGTCAATTTGGTTTGCCCATAAAATTAAGAGGGTTTCAAAAGTCTTGGCACAGTTGGAATAGTTGAATTTATGATTGTTACTGATCCGCTAAATTAGTTTAGAATAAATGACCTAGATGAGATAAATGTTCCATATCTTTTATCAAGAGAATAAATCTCTCAAATTCCTTTGATTGTTTCTCAAAGGAATAAAAAAG